TAATAATAAATGTCGCGGATGTTGGTGAAATCGGATGATCGTGAAATCAAACATTTAATATTCGATTTTTAAATTTTCTTGGGGTATATTTTTTTAGGCGTTTTAGGATTTAGAGTTAGGGTTTATAATAAAAGAGTATAGTTTAGTAGGGTTTATATTTTTAAATTAGGGCCCAGGTTTCACGATCATCCGATTTCACCAACATCCGCGACATTTATTATTATCAAAATTGCAAATCATCGACAAAAAAAATTGCTCAATTGTTAGCGTTAGATAAAGCATACTTGTCTTTTATTGACTTAAATAAAAATACCTAAGCTGTTGCCCAATTTTCCACTGCTGATTCTCAATTTTAATTGGCTAACTGCCGTGATCTACAAAAATTTGGCCCACATTATACAATTTTACGTAATTTTTGGCCGGAATTATGGTTTTTACTTTTTTACAAAAATAGTTAGGGAAATAAGCCCATACTTTGGTAAAATTAGCCCAGGAATATTTTTTCACTTAATGGCAGCTGTGATTTCATCGGTACCATATTTTCACGAATAATGCGCAGGGGCGTTGTTTGGAATTTTGACCTGAATTAAAGCTTAATTCGGTAAGATTTTGAGTAATTTCTGCCTGAATTTTTGATCGCGCTCTTAGCCAATCAAAATCGAGAATCTGTTGTGACGCGACAGCTAGGATATTTCTTGCAATAAATCTATAACTTATGATTTATTAGCCAGAAAATAAAAAATTTGACATCAGCTAGCCGGTTAGCTAAGCTGTGGCTATCTGAGTGGCTAGCCGATTATAACCTAACTGAACCCTAATATATACAGTACAACTTAGAACTATTTTATTCACGAGGCAGGTTTAACCCGACCTAAATTATCCCATACGAAAACTTTTCAACAACTACTAGTCAAAATTCGATAAAAAAATTTTTAAGCGAATTCCAATATTTTATAGAATTCATTTTAAAAATATGTTTATCAAATTCTATCAAATAGTTGTTGAGAAATTTCATCCAAAGCTAGGGAAAATTTCTGTCGTCTTCTAAGAAAATAGCCGCAGCAAAAATTTTTCTAAATTTGAACGAAAATTTCTTAACACTTGCCTGATGAATTCTATAAAATATGTTAATTCGCTTAAAAATTTTTCATCAAATTATGACGTGTAGTTATCAAGAAACTTTCGTTTAAAGCTTAATGAAATTTTTACTACGACTATCAAGAGGCAGACTTTCTAAACTTTGAACGAAAGTTTCTCGACAACTACTCAATAGAGTCCAATGAAATTTTTTAAAATGAATTCTGCGTATAATTTTATTTAAAAAATTTGCCATCGAATTCTATTGTATAGTTGAGAAAATTTGTCCAAAGTTATGGGATCTTCGATACGTGCAAAATCATGTGAACTAAGTAGATGGCCCGTTAGTAGCCTAGAAATAATGCATTTGATTGGCTGGTAACCACGTGAATGCATTTTATGGAGGGAGTTTTTATAAGTGGACCAGACAACTAACATGCACTTATATAATAAAGAATATGCATTATCTATAAGTCCCACCATGGGCCAGGACCTATATCATGCATTTAGAGAGGTGCTGCATTTAGGGAGGATGCATTTAGGGGGTCTGAGTTAGGATTTAGGGTTAGTTTTGATAATAAAAGAGTGTAAGTGGATTTTGGTAGGGCTTATATTTTTAAATTGAGGTTCCTAATTTTCAGCTTCAGCCATTTCCAGCATCAATCGCGACAATAATTATAAAACTAAATCCTTGCTTAGCCCACCTCAAGTTAGTTTAATATTCTTTATTTGATTTGATATGTTATCTAAAGCTTCAAAGTTATACTGGTATATAATAGCAATTTATTTGTGTTAAGTTGGTTTACGAATGCAGATCGTTTATAAATACAATTACAGTAAACTTAATATAGCAAATTTCTTAATAAAGAACCCTGAACATAAATTTTAAATTTGTAGAAATTTGTATGTTCGTTATTTGTACAATTTATTTCAAGTTTACAATTCATTTTAAATCTGTTCCCGATTATTATCTAGTAATCGAGTTTATGAAAATCTTTCACTTCCAAAAAGACTTAATATTCAAAAGATAATAATAATAATAATAGTAATAATAGCAAAGAATAAGGATTGATAAAAGTATGAAAATAAGGTTTTCTGAGAATTATAAGGTCGGAATATCATGTGACTGCGTCCCTCGATTGGTGTTACGCTACTTTGCGAATATACAGTAAATGCTGTTCTACAGCTGGAGCAGTTGTGATGGCTAGTAAAATAAACCAGTTGCGAATTAAACTTTTCGAAAGTTTGAATTTCAATTAAATAATTAATATCTGTAAAACAAATTTATATGGTGTAATTATCAGTGAACTGCACCAAACAATAGCCTAGCCTTATTTCATTTGTGTGCTGCCAAGAGAAAAGGGCTACTTTAGACTTTTTAAAATTTTTTTGATCAAAGTTATCTCAACAACTACTTGACTAAAATTGATGTTAATTTTTTTTATTTGAATTCTATATATTTGTAAAATTCAAATAAAAAAAATTATTATCAATTTTGATCAAGTTGAGATATCTTTGATCAAAAAAAATTTAAAAAGTCTAAAGTAGCCCTTTCACTTGGCAGCACTCATTTAAAAACTCAAAGTAGTTTAGGTAACCAATTTGCGTGATTTTTTGCAATTTATAGGTTTAATTCTTTTATCTTTTGGTGATACAATAGCAACAAAATTTATGCAACAAAAACAAAAATACAAATCACATGATTTTTAATCATATAACACGAGTTAATTTTGACGACTTAAAATAGTATTTGATCATTTATTATTTATAAAAATTAATAACGGGATTTTACGTGTTACGTAAATATTAAATAGGATAATTATAATTTATTGTTTTTACGTAACAAATAGACGTAAAAGACTTTGTATGGTATAATGAAAACTTTGAATGTTTCACTTTAATCGCGATATTGTTTTTTTTAATGTTACTCTGTAAACTTCACAAAGGCCTTTGTAGCCCATATATGATACTAATGAATTTTTTACAGAATAAATACCAAAAAAATGACAGTAGTTTGATTTAGGATAAACCTCACTTCTTCCCGCCTACAACTTTCATAAGCTATCGCAGGTCGATAACATATTTTCATTTTAACGTAGAAAAAAAAATCCAAAACATCTATCATGCATTTATTATTTTATACACTCTTTTTATTGTTCGCAGCTGTCGCTTCAGCATTTCCTAATGGGGCTGGTACCTGTCTTTCAAATCAAACGATTATTGAAGGTGTGCCGAATTCACCTATGGGTAAACTTAATGCCAGCTTAGGCTACGACTTTAAAGTTCGAATGAAGAACAATAATTATGTTCCAAAAGGTCCACCAGTCTGTTTTGAAATTACTGGAAATAAACCTTTCAAAGGTCTCTTATTGTACGCTTTAGACTCTAATAAAAATCATGTTGGGCAATGGGTTCTTCGACGTGGTTTCCAATTTAAGGAAAATTGTACCGGTGATCCAAAAGGAACACTCACCCATAGTTGTATGTTTTTTTTTTTTCTTTATTTAACGCATTACATTTCTTTTATTAAAAACTTTGTTAAATGTTAAAAGGTCCAGCAAAAAAGCGACCTGGCATCAAATTTAAGTGGAGACCTCCGCAAATGGATGTCGGTCCAATCACTTTCGTTGGTACAATTGTTGTTAGTACCGAAGAAGGATTCCAGATCGTAAAAACTAATCAGTCCTTTACAGCCTGCGGAAGCAATAGCACAATAGTACCTACACAACCAAGTGCTACACCATCAAGTAATCCATATGGTCAATCAAGTAGTCCATATGATCAATCAAGTTATCCATATGATTCATCAAGTAGTTCAAGTTATCCATCAAGTGCTACTTCATCAAGCAATTCAGTTAGTACCCCGCTTAATGATGAGTCAAGTCAAACCGCTGCCCCTAAATCTTCTAGCACTTCTACGATTGTTAAATCTTTGTGGGTACAATCATGTTTAATTGCCTCCTTAACAGCTTGGTACCTGTCTTCTGCTATTTTTTAGATAAAATTTTGCATGTAGATTAATTGGAAAAAAAAAAAAAAATTGAATCTTGACTAATCAAATTAGTATTTTATGACATTGATTAATTAGTATCTTTTTACAAAAATATACTATATATTAGTAAATTCCTTGGCCAATATTAATTTAATGAATAAAGCTAATAAATTATCATGTAGTATATAAAATATTGTCATGCATATTTTTATTTGATCCCGAATTTAAAATGCTTATTTATAATTTCACCGATAAACTTTTCATAGACAACTTTAGTTCACAGACAATAATTAATTAAAAGGCAAGTTTATTTTACAAACAATTACAGTAATTCATCTAATAGATAGGTTACTTTACCGATAGCTATTTTACCGACAGTCAATCTCACTGACAAGTTTTTTTTTTATAAATTGCGCTAATCTTAACTCTAATTCTAAACTTAATCCTAATACAGTATTAATACTAGGATTACTTTGTTTGTAAAATGAGCTATATGAGACGTTTGCAAAATAAATTGTCTATGAACTTGACTGTGAATTAGGGATGGTTTCGTTACGGTTATAGCCGGTGTTGTAACCATGGTAGAGACTTGGTTATGCGAGATGAATGCTTACAAATGATTCGGATTTAATAATAGCGGGTTATTAAGGAATCTATTTTGTTGGTATACGATTCATAAGGAACTTTATTTATTACTTCATTTATGACTCATGCGGAATTCTTCCCAATTATTGTTTCTCTTTTAGTTTAGCTGTCATATTTTACATTGCAAAATAGCATGTTCGGGAACCAAGATCTATGGTTCTAAACCCAGATCTATGGTTTCGAACCAATATCTGTGGTTCTAAACCATGCACAGCCGTTACATAACAATAGCATTAATACAATATAGGAATATAACAAAGAAAATTTGGACACAAAAATTTTCGTAACACCGGTCAGTAACCGGGCTATAACCATAACCGGCACTAACCGCCCAGAGATTTTTAACTAGTACTAGTCGGATAAAATCATAATCGATGACAGATCTTATTGTCATGGCATAATAAAGCTGAAAACAATAAATGCTTTTCAATTATTGTTTAATTCGACAAGAAATAAACAAATTGTTTTTCTTTTTACAGTATTTAACAGAACTAAATATACTTAGTGACATTATGTGGAATTTTTTTATCGCTTTGAATTAGGGTCGTTAATGGATTGGGTTGAACTATTCCTTATCCCACTCCAACTTGGGTTTGGCTCACTCCGGAGCCTCTCCAGATTTGCTTAAAGTTGCTCAAGTTCATTCCAGTTTCGCTCCAGCATATCTTTAACTCACTACAACTTGGATTGGGCTCACTCCAGAGTAGAGCCGTTAATCGGTCCGTCCAGTCCGTCTTGGTCCAAAGACCGACGGTGTTTTAAAATGTTGGATCGGACTGCGATCCAGGACTGATTAGGACCGATGGATGGACCGATTATTAGACCAATTAAATGCTACATAAGCCGCATTAACATATTGTATTACCTATTATTATTATAAACTCCATTCAAATTATTAGCTTATTACTTTTTTATAAAAACTACCTCTAACTGAATATTTAAACCTGTTTAGTATTATTAGTCGCATGAATTTTGAGAATCTTGTACATAATTCTTTAATTCTTGTAGGTATATTTTTAATGAGCTTGTACTGTAAATATATCTAGACAATAATTCTAATTGAATAATTAAATTTGTATATCTAACTCTTGTTAGAAAAAACTAGTTATTATAATAAAATAGAGATTAAATAAGAAAAAACCCTATTTAA